TAGATACGAAAGAAAGCAGAATCGGACCTATTTTGATATGAAAAATAAGTCTTATTTTTACATGAGGAATTTTTCCCACGAGAGATGGCACAAGTTTTTTGAAACACCCTGTATATGATTTGGACTTTATTGACACTGTACCTATAACCAGATAGCTTCCAAAGAAACCAAATACTAAAAAATATGTTTTTGTTAGTCACCTTCTCAACTTTTTGCATTCGTATATTTATAACTTGTATACAGCTATAACATTCTGTGCTATAAATTTAACTTAACATACTTTACTGTTACTTTAAAATAACTTCAATTTACACATACTTACCTACTACCAGAGAATAGGTACATTAAAGAAATGCTAACTTCATGTTAAAAAATGGAAACAGACGCCACCTGGTGTCGCCTGGCAGTACTAGCGAAATTGAGGGGAATTGGAGGGGCGGGGCTTAAAAGAGGGGAAATTTTAAAAAAAATATTTTTATAAGTATTACTGACTTACTGTTTACAGTTAATAAACATATTTTTTATTACTTTAATATAATTTAATGTATTAAAAAATATGTCTATTAACTTTACACAGCAAATCAATGATATTATTAAAGACTTATTATTTTCAGAGAAAATTCATAGTAAATAAATTACACATTAGTAAACAATATCATTTATTTTTTAGAGCTGCGATTTATATTACAATAATATTGAAATATATATATTTTTTTTAACAATGAAAAAGAATATCCTGAACCTGAAAAGAAAGATGATCAATTAATGACTTAAATTAGTTCAAAATACATTTTGCAAATAACTAGTGAATTGGAAAGATAAACATACTATTAAAAAGACATTTTAGTAGTATGTTATCATCTATTTACTGATAATACATTACATAAGTATATAATAGGTAAATAACATGCATAAAGCACTATGATACAACTACCTATATCATGATAACACACTAATATGACAAAAAATATATGCTAATTTAAATTCCTTTAATGATCTAATGAAACACTATCTAGCCTCAATGCATGTCATTCCAAAGGCAAAAAAAACTGTTATACCAAATAAATATAAGCTGAATAAAACATAAACCAAGCCAACGTGCATAAACAACCAAAAAATGCATCAAAAAATACTTTTATCAGATCATACCCTTGGATATATTATGTATTTTATATATCGCACATCCGTTCAAAAAGTTTACTAACTCAAAATAGAGAATATAGAGAATATTGTCAGGAGAAGTAAAAGAAAATTTAAGTTAAGGCAATATGCTCCTTTTTGCATATTAACGGCCAAATAATATAATGTTGATTTAATAAAATTTTACTGGCATCCTTCTGAGGTATAAATCAGATTAAAAGGACATTGTTTTTTTAATAATTGTTTGTTTTGTAAACATTTTTTGAAGACAATACAGTTTTGAACGGGCTGTGCGATATAAACAAAGATCTTACTATTATTTGAGGTTAGAAAGTATTTAAATAATATAAAACATAATCAAAATCATTTTTCATCATAAATTATAGAGGTACTTACGTGTTTTGATATTATTATCAGGAAATAATACGTCTAGTTAAACAGGTACGCTGCCAGGCAAGTTCTATCGGCGGGTCTTTGCAAAAGTTGAAATCTAAAAATACAAAAATTGTTTTGTTTACATCTTAGTTGTATTTACGAATAAAGTATTTGTGTGTAATTTCTGACTTACCAGTTAACTGAATAATCGCATTAAATACATCCAAATGGTAATTTAATATTGTAAAAAAGCAAAATTGTTTTATATCACTTGCCAGGACAGCCCGGCCAGCTTCTTTGTTGACAAAATGGCCCCGGTATCATGATTTAAGCAATGTGAGTGACAAAGAAAGCCAATGCCTGGCAGAAAAACGTATTTGCTGGCAGATGTTGCTTTCTTCGTCGTTGGTCCTGGCACGTTTAATTTTGACTGTTGCCTGTTTTCCCATACAAGTGACACCCCCGTGCCTACTACCTACATTAATCATAATTTATTCGTAAAGAGTTTCTTCAGAAATCATGCAATGTACGATCATTTAAAGTAGAGGTTTATTCATGCGTTATAGTCGACATTCGACATCTAATAGTATTTTAGTAATAAATGAAAACGTATTTCTTTACAAGAATGCAACTATTAAATGTATTCTAGCTATGTTGTTGAATTATACATATAGTGGTATAGTGGATATTGGCACTTTACTCGGATTAATCAAGGCTGACGATTCTTTAAAAACAATAATTAAACTGAACTTTATTTGTGCAGGTTATTGATAGGATTGGAACTTGATAGGATCCTTCGGTTCGAACTTTGCCTTCCCGAATAAGAAGTGTCGCTTGCCATCCAGAGTTTCTCAGTGACATATTATGTGCTCCGCTGTTTCACGATATGTACCGCAGAGTTTGCAACAAAGACTTTCTTGATATAGGTTGAGCTTGTTCAAGTAACACTTGACAGCCATCTGTCCTGTCAAGAGACGTATTGTGATCTGCACTTTATCCCTGCTGAGCATTACCAGTTCTTTTTTGGTTTTAGAATTAAGTCAATATATGAAGGCCTTGCTGCGCCTGTGCCCTTGTCTGTTTCTCTGGACGGTTTGCTTTTCTCTATTCCAGAGTTTTACTGCACTATGGGTTATACATTTGGGTATTCCCAGTACTGACTCTGGACCATTCATAGATTTCCGATGATTCTTGTATTGTCAGTTCATCGACCTCTACCCGAGTAGGGTACTGGGCATATTAAATGGAATGGGACAGAACAAAATCAATATAGTGCCAACTCCTTTATGACGCTGATGCGAGACGGTACCGACCATTGTATATTGTGCTTAATATTGATTACTCCATATATGTTCTTCTGTAGGGGATATCGTGGTGTAGTTTGTTGATTTCTTTCTGATATTCCTGGACTCATATTGGTATTACAACGGTCTCTTTGTCCTTGCCGATAAGATGTAGAATGTTTAGGAGTGGGTTCATCACCATGACCTTACAAGTCTATTGTGTGTTCCCCTTTCTTGAGTTAGAACGAGTTATAACTCATCATACAGTCTCAGGGCGTTGACAAAAGCCAGAATCTGAGACGGCTCCACAGAGGTCACCTCTCCATCTTCGACATCAGCCGTACCAAAGTTTATGGTACGAACGGTTGTCGTTGCACTCAGTGATAAGGTGTTCTGATGTTTCCCCATTTCCTCCACAGAATCTGCATTCGCCGTTGATTCTCAGCTTCAATCTACTATGGTGTTCGTTGAGGAGACCTGAGTGCCCTGTTACAAACCCGTAACAATCCGAAGATTGTTTTTACTTAAATCAAGGAAAATCTTTGATTTTTCTCGGTCGTAAGTTTTGAGGAACTTTTTCGAGTGACTTAGACCGTGGGATGATTCCCATTCCAGGTTACGGATGGAGTTTCCCAGATTCTTCAGTTTCGCTTTAAGTTGGTTTCCACTTGGGAAGCAGAACGGTTCTGGTCCAGTTAGTGGGAGTGTTCGCCCTTTTTCTAGCCAGATCGTTTGCTTGTTCATTGCTTTCTATCCCTTGGTGAGCGGGCGCTCAGAGTAGGAGAACTTTATTTTCTTTGCCTAATTTATTCAGCTTCTCTAGACATTCTTTGACCAACTTCGAATTGATGGTTACTGAGTTGATCGCTTTTAATGTTGCTTTACTATCGGATAAGATGGCTATTTCATGATTTCGAAAGTTTCTATCTAGGATAAATTGTCAGCTTTCTCTAGCGTAGATTTGGATGCTGGGGTAGGTGCCAATTGGTTCGTAGTATTTAGGTTTCGACCCAAATAATCCTATCCCTGTGCCTGCTTTGGTTTTGGAAGCATCAGTATACCACAATATGGTATGGTTTTTACATGCTGAGCACATTTCAATCTTTTTTATTGCTCAATTTTCAGTCCTTTTTATTATTTAACTGAAATATAGTATTTTCGACCGCAAACAGTTTTTAGTTTTATATTGAATATACTAAAAAATAGGTCATATTGGTGTAGGTGGACATAAAAATAGAATAGAACAAACGTGATTTATCCAAATATTTCTGGTTTTATTTTTAGTTGTTGTTTATACATTTTTTATACAAAGTTGAATATATGTTTTGAGTTTTTGCAATACTGTTTTCTCTGTTTTGTATTTATTATTTTACATATATCAGCTATATATATGTAGGAGATTTGATTTTGATAATAGAGATGATTGGTTTTTAATATTTAAAATTTTTATTTTATTCTTGGCGCTAGCAAGAAAATGTTAATAATAATTTAAGATTAGAAAAACACATAAAAATATTGTTTCTAATATAAAATATCAAGGCTATTTTTTGTAAAAATTTAGGATATTTCTGTATTATCAAGAATATAATAATGAAATAAATATAAATTTGTTTAAATTTAAAAATTGCATTTTTTCGATATATCCACACATTTTATGACACAAAATAATATAGCCAATTTAGGTAGACATTTAGGTATGCTATATTAACACTTTAGAAGATAATATTAAAACAGTTACTAACCGCAGTAAGATTAACTCGTCATGCAATGTTATGCCGGGTCCAGACCAAGCAGACAACATTTCTGTGACATTTTTGTCTCATTTTTGTTTTGTTTCAAAATTCGGAGACTTTTCAATGTCCCGTCTCGTATTGGTAAAGATCAAAGTGTCAATGTTTTGTTCGTATATTTGACGACAAGTTGTCGGCGCTGCTGCCAGCAGTAGGAGACCAGTGAAATCACATATGGTTAATAAAACTCATTCGCAATTTTGAGTTTGTTGTACTTTTGTCCTTGCGGTGTGGACAATTTGTCTCAAGTTTGTCGTGCCAGAATTCCCCATTTTTTGTCGCATGTTTGTCTTGTTTTTGTCTCAAAATCGTGTTTACTTTTTGTCGCCGTGGTCTGGACCCGGTATTACGATTTAATGAATACTTGTCCTGTTTTGTCCTAGATTTCTGAATTGACAAGTGTTGATTACAGGTTAACTTTCTACTTCATGGACTGGAAGAACAAGCCGATTCCTTTATCCCAGAAAACGCTATGGTTACTGGAAACTGTGCCAAAGAAGATACTGTTAAGATGAATATAGGATGGACTGGTTATAGTTTAGCGCTAACATTTGATAAGGTTTGTATATTAATAGATTTAGATATGAAAATATTATTTTTATAGGTACTTACCAGAAATTTATTTTAAACTTTTTTTTATTGTCTAGTATTTATGTTCTAGTATACTATAGTTTCTAATGTTTTATTTAATTTTTTTAGACTCCTGGTGGAGATCACTGGTACTTGTCCAATGTCGAACTAACAGTAAGCATTATCGATAATGATAAATTTAATGGAATCAAAACTCGAGGTATATAACATAATTGAATAATCTTATTTATTTAAAACGGTATTTCATTATAAAACGTATATACAGGGTGGCGCCTCTCATACGCCGCGAAAGCTCCAAGTAGAACGGTAGTTTATATCGAAATGAAATTTCGGCAGCATATGTAGGTTAACTGAAAGCATTTTATAAAAATATACAGAATTATACAGGGTGCCCCCCAAAAAGTTACACATCAAAGTTGTGTTTTTTCCTCGTTTTTTTCTAATGGAACACCCTATATATTAATTGATTTTCAGATTCTAGGAAAAAAATAAATGTGAGTTTTATTAAAGAAGCATATACCTAAAATCTAAGGATTTTGACATATTTCACATTTTGTAAAAATGAAGAATAAATTTTAAATTCCGATAACAGCTACCTAAATTTTAGTTGACTTTGTATAGCCTGATATTGAATTACAGTAACCATTGTATGTTAAACCAAATTGAAATTTGACCCGAAAAGTTATACAGGGTGAGACAAAATTAATATGGAACATTAATCACTTTTAAAAGCAAGTTACTCCTTTATTTTAAATGGAACACCCAGTATATTTTTTTGGGTGTTCAATAGGGAATTTATATATCTTCAAAATATTACTAAGGTTGCCTACCCCTCACACAAAGATTTCCACAGATATTTTAATTTGTATGATTTTGCGTCAGTAAATCTTTATTATTTGAAAAATCTAGGTGGCTGTATGATATACCTTTTGTTAATTTAACAAAAATTAAAGATTGTAGAGTAAAATACTCAAGTTTAATAAACAGATACACGTTTAGATCATATTTTAATTATTACAGAATTAAACTTAGATGTAAACCTATAATTATGCGACAAAAATTAGCTAGATGAAATCAAATGCTCAAAATGCTTCCTTTCTTGTTAACTGCATAAAATGATTGTCTTTTTATGAGGATCTTTTCATTTTAGAAGGCATATGTGGAGTTCTACCTCGAAAAGCAGCTACTATAATTTCTCTCATGTTGTCGACACTAGTTGGCCGAGTTTTGTAAAAACTGTCTTTAACATATCCCCATAAAAAAAACCCGACTAGATAAAATCAGGAGCATTTAAGTATTCTATTAATTGGTGTATGCACAATGCACACTGTATTCACCTAGATTCATATCAATCCTCTCTGATGTAGGATAAGTTTACATTTTCGGCATATTTCTGAGATTTTTTTTTGTTTTAACTGACACAAAATTATAACTAGTTGTTAAAGTTAGACTAATTAGACAGCTATGTTGAAGTAACGTCAGACGTATCACCAGCCACCTAGATTTTATCAAATAATAAATATCTACTCAGATCAAATCATGTAAATGAAAATATCTAGGAAAATCATTGTGTGAGGGGTAGGCAACCTTAATAGTAATTTGACACATGAATTCTCCATTGAATATCGGAATAATATACTGGGTGTTCCTTTTAAAATAAGGGAGTAACATGCTTTTAAAGGTGACCAATGTTGAATATTAATTTTGTCTCAGCCTGCACTAGTAGTTATAAAAAGCATTTTTGGTAAACTCTGTCCCTAATAGTTCCTGAAAAATAAAATTATTTTTTTTAAAAATGTCCGATTAAATTAATATCTCCGAAACTAAAGTTCCAAGAAAAGTCGTAATATAGGTATCTAGAAATTCATTTACCCACTAGTAGTTATAAAAGGATTTTTGGTAAACTCTGTCCCTAATAGATTCTGAAAAATAAAATAATTTTTTTTAAAAAGGTCCGATTAAATTTTTATCTCCGAAACTAAAGTTCCAAAAAATTCGTAATATATCTAGAAATTCTTTTACCCGCTAGTAGATATAAAAAGCATTTTTGGTAAACTCTGTCTCTAATAGTTTCTGAAAAATAAAATTAATTTTTTTTAAAAATGTCCGATTAAATTAATATCTCCGAAACCAAAGTTCAAAAAAATTCGTAATATATCTAGAAATTCTTTTACTCGCTAGTAGATATAAAAAGCATTTTTGGTAAACTCTGTCTCTAATAGTTTCTGAAAAATAAAATTATTTTTTTTAAAAATGTCCGATTAAATTAATATCTCCGAAACTAAAGTTCCAAAAAAATTCGTAATATTTCTACAAATTCATTTACCCACTAGTAGATATAAACACAGCCAAACCAAACTTTATGGATCAAGTTTTAATTTGATTTAAAGTACAATAGTTAATTTAACTACATATTAGGCTATACCGGGCAAATTCCAATTCAGGTAGCTTTTAATAAGTCTTCACAGAAAATTTTGTGCAAAAAAAAAGAACAATTTAAAAATTGTTCTTTGTTTCTAGAAAATGTTATATTGTCAAAAACCTTACATTTTAATCATATACTTCTCTTATAAAACTCATCTTTATTTTTCTCCCAGAATTCGAAAATCATATGTATATATAGGGTGTTTCATTACAAAAAACACAACTTTGATATGTAACTTTTTTTTGGGTACACCCTGTAGAACTCTTAATATTTTTATAAAGTGCTCTGAATTAACCTATATATGCTCACGAAATTTCATTTCAATACAAACTGTCGTTCTCCTTGGAGCCTCCGCGGTGTATGAGAGGTGCCACCCTGTAAAATCGAAAAAAAAACGACATCAAAAACGGCTCGGGAAGCACAATACCAAACAATACAAACCAAACCAAGAAATTGACGTCTAGGGCTTGACTTCGCCAAAATTATCATCGACTGTCATTCCCTGGCGTTTTTGGTACCGTTTTTTTCGATCATTTGGCACATAATATAGGTATACTAATGCGGGTATTAAACTATAAAATTTCTTTGTCAAAGATCTTTTATAAAATATATTTTATGAAAAATTTGTCAGTGTTAATATACAATTTTTTTATAAAATCACACATTACACTGTCTAATTCTACATAAAACATTTGTTAATTAAAATCTTTGAGAAAGAAATTTGAGAGTGTAATAGTAGTCTAAGTAACATAGAAGTGCGAACACTCTATAATATGATTTTTATTTCATTAGTTCTTACTCCTTAATTCTTCTGATCTAGTATAAGGGTCGATTAAAATATGAACTTTACCAGTTTAATATCTTTTTTGTGTAATTTATTCTTGCATAAGGTATCTGATTTCTTTAACTGTAAAAAACTGTAAAGTCTGTCCAACGAAAAGATACATGATAGTGACAGTTGTTGTCTATCTCTTTCACAGGTAAATTGAATTTTTTGCAAATTAATTATTTGATTTTATTTGGAGGTCGTTTGTCGAAATATTCCCTGACCCTTTGGACATACTTTTTCTACTATTCTATTCAGACGCCTAAATTGAAGTTTGTCATTATTTCAGAATATATTTTTACAACTATTCTTCCTTTTTAGATAATACTCTTAAACTCTACAGCAGTAAAATGTTGATACCCACCCCGGTGGGCAAATCTTACTTGTGCCCTCGCGTGAGTATTCCTTTGGAAACCGACGAGGCCGATCATCCTCCGAAAAATGTGCATGGATCGCTACTCCTGAGGCTGCTTCAGGTCCAGGCTTTTATGTATCGCAGTGAAAATTTCTCTACGCCGTTCGAGTGTAAATCTCAAAGGAGCTTTAGGCAAGTTTTATTTACTTAAATAAAGAAGTAAGTTAATAGCTATAAGCCCAAGAAAATATTATATTTGTTAAACTTACGTAGATGAACATTACGTAGAACACTTTGTTATTATCTCTGTGTTAGATGGAGAATTAAAAAATGAATATTTTTTGCATTTAAAGAATTTTAGAATTTTTAGCGGTTCTATTTAAAAAAAAAACGAAGAAAAACAATAATTTCATATTTTAGAAAGTTTTTATTAGATGTAAGACGCATTTTTGCCGGACCCATATAAACTAGGTAGTAGCGTTGATTGAAAAAATTGGGAAGATACGCAACCTAATGGCTGAATTAGTGACAAGGCTGATTTGATTTCCTCTTACGTCTCTAGTGCCTCAAGTGGTGTACGATGGAGACACCAATCGTTTTGCGGCCAACGCATAAAACACTTATTTTCTCTAATTCAGCCAGAGAAGGCATATCGAAGACGGTGTGGAACTGAAAGCGACAGTCTTATCATATTAAAATGTGTATATCTCTAATACTTTAAGTTAATAGCTAAAGATAATACGTTTGATAAAAATATCTTTGGATGAAAAATCTATATTTATGTACTGAAAACGTATTCGTGTTAAACATAGAATAAACAACAAAAATATTTTTATAGGTATTAAATATATCGTATGATCGAAAAAAGTCGTTTAGTTGGCTTGGAAATGACGATTAGACATTTACCATAATATGTTACATATAAAATAACAGCGATCTTCATTTCCAAGCCATTTCTGACGCCGTTCTTTCTTTAATCATATAATATTATGTTAAATTGTTTAATGATAAAAATCCGTAAATCTACGGATTAATCAGTAGTTCTGGCAGCACTGTCTCCGGCAACCACTAACTCTGTCGACTGAAAGCAGAACTATGGTACAGTATTCTTTAGCCGCTGAACTGTCAACGACTATCAGCGCGCAGCGGCGCAGAGCTAAACTAAATCTCGGACAGGCTGACGGTATCGCCAGCTACATCTCGGACAGGTTTTGTGCATATACATATAACTAAATATACTCAGCCTAATCTCTAAAAAGTGAAGCCCAAACAGTGAAAAAAAAATGGAATTTTGCATAAGTCTGTTTCACCCGGATATTCATTTAACTGTGCATGCCTTACCTGAAGAAGTTTTCATTGGTCGGTGTTTTTAAAGGGAAGTGGTTGACTGACATTTCACCTAACCTTCAATTTTATTTATATTTTTATTATTTACAACACATTATCATGGAGTTGGAAAAATATCAAAAAATAGTATATGTCTAAATCACTCGTTTACGCGCATTAATAAAAAGTAATCCAAACAGAACTAAAACAACAATCAATCGGAGTTTGGCGCAATCGTAGTTCAATCGATATCCGGGTGAAATAGACTTATGCAGCATTAATATGGAGCTGAGTTATGTTGTCTTTTTCTTACGGCACGGAAACAGCACACGGGGTTAAATTGGAAACGCTGAGTATATTTAGTTATAGGTATATGATTTTGTGCCACGAAATCGCCCATAAGGTTGCACTGCACATCTTCTTATTTCGTCAATCAACGGTAGGAGGAAAAACTTTGAACCTTGGCAACCCCTATTTGCGGCAACTTTTTGATTGGCACCCTGTTAAAAGTGGATTCCCCTATCCATAAATACCGGGTGCGTCTCAAAAGTGGCTCACCCCCTATAACTTTTTTATTTTTTCAGATAAAAAAACGAGATTTGGTATGTTAGTATATGACATAAATTAGGATTTATTGACGTATTCAATTGTTTTTAGTCACTTCCTGTTTCACCGGAAATGACTACAACTTTTGATTTTTAAATGGCACCCTCGAATGACACCCTATTCGATAGAAAATGACATTCTGAATAGAATGACGTATCATATGTCAACTTTTGACATTTTCGCTTAATAAAAAACCGTATTTTAAAATTTAATCTAGAGTGCCATGGCTATGTTAAAAACACTAATTTTATTAACCTTTGGAAAAATAGATTTGATCGTCTAATGTTTTTAGTGTTTTGTCCTGGCCAGTTAGAAAATGCTCATCAAATCATATTTTTAATCATATCTCAATTTTTTCAAATAGAACGAGGGTGGCTCATTAGCATAATTGGAAAAAGCATTTTTTTGGGAATAATTTGATACCACACACTTGGTATTTCAAGTCAAATTTTCGTTACGAACCGCAAGTGACAATTCCAAATAAATCATATACGAAAATGTCAAAAGTTGACATATTATGATATGCCATTCTATTCAGAGTGTTATTTTCTATCAAATAAAGAAAAAAAATACCGAGGGTGCCATTTAAAAATCAAAAGTTGTAGTCATTTCCGGTGAAACAGGAAGTACCGAAAACAATTGAATACGTCAACCAATCCCAATTTATGTCATATTCTAACATACCAAATCTCGTTTTCTTAACTGAAAAATTAAAAAAGTTATGTAGAATGTTTCGGAGGGGAGTTAATCACCGCGACCTTATAGATCTATTGTGTGTTCCCGTTTCTTGAGTTCCCATTCCATTCATCATACAGTCTCAGGGCTTTAACAAAAGCCAGTATCTGAGACGGCTCTACAGAGGCCAGCCAGCTCCATCCTCGACATCAGCCGTACCAAAGCAGTTCATGGCACGAATGGTCGTCGTCTCGGCGCATTCAGTGATAAGGTGTTCTGATGTTTCCCATTTTCCCCACAGAATCTGCATTCGCTGTTGTTTCTCAGCTTCAGCGTACTGAGGTGTTTGTTGGGGAGACAGTGTCCTGTTAGAAACCCCGTGACAATCCGAAGATTGTTTTTACTTAAATCAAGGAAAACCTTTGATTTTTCTCGGTCGTCAGTTCTGAGGAAATTTTTCGATTGTCTTAGACCGTTAGAGGACAGCCATTCCAATTTACGGATGAAGTTTTCCAGATTCTTCAGTTCTGCTTTCAGTTGGTTCCCGTTCGGAAAACAGAACGGTTCTGGTCCAGTTAGTGGAGTGTTCGCTCCTTGCTCCCTTCCTAGCCAGATCATTTGCTTTTTCATTGCCTTCTATCCCGTGGTGAGCAGGCACCCAGAGTAGCAGGACTTTATTTTCTTTGCCTGTACGTGCAGTAAGCCTTAACTCATATAAGGCATATTAAATTAACATTTTAAAAGCGTACTTACTATCTATCTATACTAATATATAAAATCCTTACGTGACTGACATACTGATTAATCACGATCCTGCTCAAACCACTCAACGTAAGAAGCTCAATTTTGGCATACAGGTTGATTCTAGGGTGTAGAGGAAGGGATAGTAAGAAGGGATTTTTCGAAATTCCAGTTCCAAGAGGGTGAAACCACCCCTCAAATATTACAATATTTTTTTGTTTAAAAAACGGTCAAGTTTCCGAAGAAACGCTTAAACACGTATATTTTATTTTGTTTTTTACATATTTTAAGATTTTTTAAAAATGTATACAGGGTGTTTCAAAAAATCTGGTCATTGATTAATCACGATCTTGCTTAAAGCGCTTGACGTAAAAAGCTGTTGGAAAACAGATTGACTTGGGGTGTAGAGGTTCGATAAGAAGGGATCGTTCGAAACTCGAATTCTAAGGGGGTGAAACTATCCCTCAAATATTAAAATATTTTTTATTTAAAAACCGGTGAGTTTTTCGGAAAAACTCTTAAACACGTATATTTTATTTTGTTGTTTTACATATTTTAAGATTTTTGTATAAATTTATATATACAGGGTGTTTCATAAAATATGACCATTGAGTAATCACGATTCTGCTTAAACTGATTTTTAACAAACGGATTGACTGTGGGGTGTAGAGGTTCGATAAGGAGGGGTTTCTCGAATCTCAAATTCCAAGAGGGTGAAAACGCCTCTCAAATATTACAATATTTGTTAATTACGGTTAGTCTTTCGAGAAAACGCTTGGACAAGCATAATTTATTTGGATTTTTTACATATTTTGAAATTTTTTAAAAAATCATACAGGTGTTCCAAAAAGTTGGGTAATTTCTTAACCACGATTCTGCTTAAACTGCTTGACGTAAAAAGCTTATTTTTGGCAAACGGATTTTTCGAAAGTCAAATTCCAACGAGATGAAATTACCCCTCAAATATTACCAAGTTATATAATAATATCGCCTAATAAGTTTGTATGTTAATGGAAATTCTTGCTTTGCTTTATCATCACCATTACAAATGATTAGATAATTCGACGCGAACGAAGTCGCTGGTACACGCTAGTTTTATTATATTACTAGTGTGTACCAGCGACTTCGTTCGCGTCGAATTAATCATTTGTAATGGTAATGATAACAAAGCAAGAATTTCCATTAACATACAAACTGGATAAAATTTTCTCACATTTATGTCAGCATGAAAAAAAAACAATATGACGATATTATTATATAACTTGGTAATATTTGAGGGGTAGTTTCATCTCGAAATATAGTAGTAGAGTAGTAGAGGTAGTTTCATCTCGGAATTTGACTTTCGAAAAATCCGTTTGCCAAAAATAAGCTTTTTACGTCAAGCAGTTTAAGCAGAATCGTGGTTAAGAATTTACCCAACTTTTTGGAACACCCTGTATGATTTTTTAAAAATTTCAAAATATGTAAAAAAAACAAATAAATTATACCTGTCCAAGCGTTTTCCCGAAAGACTAACCGTTTTTTAAATAACAAATATTGTAATATTATTTGAGGGGCGTTTTCACCCTCTTGGAATTTGAGATTCGAGAAACCCCTCCTTATCGAACCTCTACACCCCACAGTCAATCCGTTTGCCAAAGTCAGCTTTAAACGTCAAGCAGTTTAAGCTAGGGCATTCAATCCCGAAAGAAATTTTCAATCCCGGGATTTCGGGATTATAATTTTTTGATCCCGGGATCCCGGGATTGGTTCCGGGATTCACAAAAAATTAACTACGTTGAAACTATATTATATCTTCTTTCTTAACAAAATTTTATTGAACAAAAAAAAACATTAATATAAATTAAACGTCATCCCCATTACAAAACAACATAACATATAAGTTTATTTAACAAAAAAAAACATTAAAAGGAACTAAAATATACATTTTTTATTTAATTTACATAACCAAACGAACAAACACAGCATAACACAGGATTATGTAAGATACTAAAATACTAAGTACTAAGAAACTAAAATAACAACTTATGCAGTAACAAAGATGAGGATCTAAACTTATTTTTTGAAAAAAATTCTTAAAAAACAAGCTGATCAAGAGTATTATCACTCAAACTAGATCTGATTTTACTGCACAATATTCCAGCAATAGAAAAGGTCCTTTCTGATTCCACACTCGTTGGAGGAATAGTCATCAGCATGTCATAGGCTAACTGCAAGTGGAAACCTCGGTCAGCTCCATTTTCGAAGAATTCCATCTCCCGGAATATTATTTTAGGTAAATCGATGTTATCATATCTAATTACAGTTTTTTGAGGTTTTGTGTTTTTTTCTAAGGCCTCTTTTAATTTATCTTTAAGGGATACATTTTTCTTTATCAATAAAAGATAGAGAAATTTTCTTTGAAATAATCCTTCCGTTTCATTTTCTGTGGGAGAGTAGAGGTAACTTAGGACCGATGATAGAAGTGACCCCACGAGGGAAAATATAAGGTACATTGTTGCCATACATTCAGTGTTGTTCATAAGCGTATATTGTACTATCATGAAAGACTTGTGTACGATTTAAATTAAGGAAAAAATGTAATGATGAATCCCGACAATCCCGGGATTAAATAAAAGACAATCCCGGGATGTCGGGATTGAAAAAATATCCATATTCTAACATACCAAATCTCGTTTTCTTAACTGAAAAATTAAAAAAGTTATGTAGAATGTTTCGGAGGGGAGTTAATCACCGCGACCTTATAGATCTATTGTGTGTTCCCGTTTCTTGAGTTCCCATTCCATTCATCATACAGTCTCAGGGCTTTAACAAAAGCCAGTATCTGAGACGGCTCTACAGAGGCCAGCTCTCCATCCTCGACATCAGCCGTACCAAAGCAGTTCATGGCACGAATGGTCGTCGTCTCGGCGCATTCAGTGATAAGGTGTTCTGATGTTTCCCCATTTTCCCCACAGAATCTGCATTCGCTGTTGTTTCTCAGCTTCAGCGTACTGAGGTGTTTGTTGGGGAGACAGTGTCCTGTTAGAAACCCCGTGACAATCCGAAGATTGTTTTTACTTAAATCAAGGAAAACCTTTGATTTTTCTCGGTCGTCAGTTCTGAGGAAATTTTTCGATTGTCTTAGACCGTTAGAGGACAGCCATTCCAATTTACGGATGAAGTTTTCCAGATTCTTCAGTTCAGCACCCCTCAAATATTGTAATATTTGAGGGGTGCTTTCACCCCCTTGGAACTGGAATTTCGAAAAATCCCTTCTTATCGAACCTCTACACCCTAGAATCAACCTGTATGCCAAAATTGAGCTTCTTACGTTGAGTGGTTTGAGCAGGATCGTGATTAATCAGTATGTCAGTCACTTAAGGATTTTATATATCAAAGAGGAGTTACTATAATATAATAAAATTATATGAATTGATTATTTATAAATTAAAATGTTTTTAGTTTTCATTAACCTCGTCTTATTATCGTTTTAATTTTACAGGAGTGAAACAGCACCAATTGCAGTGGGCTCAACGCTAGCTATAGCTGCTTTAGCAACTGTCACAGGATACGGAGTATTTAGGTATTTTAAAGTAAAAAATGTCCAGTATAACACCATGGAATAAGCGTTTTTTTTTTAATTTTCTATTGTAAATTAATATTTCTTATTACTACTTTAATTTGTTAGACTTAGAGCAAATCAAGTATCGACTCAACGTTAATTACATAGCTATTTATTAATTATTGCTAGATCTGATATTCTAATATACTATAATATCTATATAAAATAGCTCATTCCAATATTTTAAGAAATAAATCTAGAACGCACTGAACATATTTGATATTTCGCACATTTTATCAACTTTTGTATTTCTTCCGTATGCACAAATTTATAGCGTAGCATCTAAGATAGTTTAATCGTAAATATTGAAGAAACTTTTGTGGCCAATGTACTTAAAAGAGTAGTTAGTACACCCTGTATATAAAATGGAGAAAGTCCCTGAAGCTCAAAGATGGATGGCTTAAAATTTAGTTTTGTGACAAATTTATTGGTGAAAGCATAATAATTGCACTCACCAAAAATGCCAAGTTTTTCAATATAGTTTTATTAATTTTAAATTAAATGGGCCTTAAAATACCAAAACTATAATAAGGAACATTAAAAAGATAATAAGGAACACTGAAAAGTTAATAGTAAGGATGGTATTTTAAACAAATTTAATGATTTAATACGTTATGGTATTATTTGTGAGAATGTTTTAGTAATTTATATAGAGTTTTTATATAAATAAATTATTGTACAAAGAGAAAGAAAATAGGATTATGTATTTAGAAATAAGAATTAATTGTTCTTGCCTAGTATTTGGAATTTGTGATTAAATCTATACAATGATAATTTCAGTTTGGCATAAGCTCAGTTAATTTTTTTTAATTTTTTTAATAAAATATGTAAACCCATGAATTTTTTGAAGTTCATATTATTAGCAATTTTAATCTGTACTTAACCTGATAAATTTGTTGCTCAACTAAATTTTTATACTGTCGTTTTATACTGTTTTTCTAATATTTTTCTTTGCTCATATATCGGTAGTATTATATACAGGGTTGTCAACAATTGCTTAAAAAATATTTATCTTATGGAATAAAAATTCTGAAGAATCAGCTTATGGATGTAGCTTATACAGGGTGTCCCAGAAATAAGTGCAAGTATTTTAAGAGGTGTTAGAAAGAATTTTCACTTATAATATCACAAGAGCTTAAATTATTTTCGGAAATTTTTTTGAGGGCACGAATATTTTGAAAATAATTTTCCTAAAATATTCCTGCCCGAAAGAAAATTTCCAGGAATAATTTAAGCTTGCGTGGTATTCGGTAAGAAAATTTCACACCTAAATTTGGAAAAAAAATATTAATCCAACATGACATTTTAAAATAATTTCAATTTGTTAAGTTGGCCAAGGTATTGATGTTTTTGACATATTATGTGTTTTGTCATTTTTGTTTGCGATTCTGTCATTAAGCTATTACTAGTTTTAAAACGTAATTTTAAAAGAAAAAAAAACGCAATTTCGAAGAAATTCATATGTAGGTATATCTAACATATTTCCTTAAATAAAAAATATTACCAACCTTAGTTACATCAAATGCTAAAACTCAAATGGGTAATATTTCAATATATAGACATTGTAGTTCATTCACATTATGATTGTAGATCTTATGTTTACCTTTTCAACTGTCAAAAAATTTCCACTAAAGTTTCGTGGCGCCTCGAAAAAATTTCCGGAAATTTTTTCAGTTGCCATGGTAACTAGTCAACATTAAAGCATGTTATTGGTTGAAAAGTAGAGGTGTGAAATTTTCAAACTAATTTTTTCGCGAAAAAAACCTCATTGGCGTGTTTCTGGGGTAGAACTATACTACCAGTTAAAATACTTGCACTTATTTCTGGGACACTCTGTATAGGGATGCAATAAGAGCATAATCTAAAATACATCTTTTAATACTTATTTAAGAATACAGGGTGTTTTAGAAAAGCATAGGACACGAAAATGTATTTCTTTAAGTGGGTTTAATCATTAACTTTAATTATTTGGTTTCATTTTTAAGTTTTTTATCTGAACATTTTTGACTTTCTTAAAATTCGTTATGGGTATTGGCATAAGTTTAAAAACAAAAACAACAAAAAAATAAATAAATATTCTTTGTATTACGCCCTCTCCTGCCGATCCAAATGGCAATGTGGCTCTGGAAATTGCAGCCCGGAAGATTTTCACAGACGAGCGTTTAAACCATCTTCTTAAATCTTTTAGCCATGAGTTCTGGCGTCTTCCTACTGATCTTTTCCCTTGCACTTTGCCCTCTATTATGAGGCGCAGTATTTCGTATCTACCACCTCTCATCATCACATTACCCAGGTATTGCATTTTTCTTTCCTTGATGGTGTTCAGTATCTCTTTTTGTTTCTGCATCCGCTGGAATACTTCATCGTTGGTGATCCTTTGTACCCATGAGATTCGCAGCATCCGTCTGTATACATACATTTCGAAAGCTTCTATTCTCTTTTCGGTCTGTGAATCTAGTGTCCAGCTCTCACATCCATACAGTAACACAGAGAAGACGTATTAAAAAAAATATAAGGCGATGTTTTTCTTGAAAACCAGTAAAATAAATAAATAATTACAAATTTATTACGTATCATACCTTGATCATATCCGTAAAATGTTTCTTCTGAAATTTTAAATCGTCAATATCTACTTTATATGTGGTGATTCATATTTTCATATTCTATATGCAATATACATATTAATGATGGCATTTTTGAAATAAATAGTCTATTTCTTTCCAAAACAAATTTCAAATGCATTCTTTAAAACATAAATTTTGCATACCTACATTTAGGATAAGTTGTTGAATAATTATCTAATAAAAATTTATACAGTATTTTGCATTAAATATAAAAAGTATGCTAAGATAGAACAAACCGACTTATGCAGCCTATTATAGGTATGCAGTATATTATATATTATTATACATATAATTTTTCTCAGGAAGTTATTTTTAGTTTTAGTAATTATACAGTATGTCCCCGGATTGTCTTTCTTCTTCTTCTTCTTATCACGCCCTCTCCTGCAGAAGGTTGGCGATCCAAATGGCAATTGTGGCTCTGGAAACTGCAGCCCGGAAGATTTCCGCAGACGAGCGTTCAAACCATCTCCTCAAATCTTTTAGCCATGAGTTCTGGCGTCTTCCTACTGATCTTTTCCCTTGCACTTTGCCCTCTATTATGAGGCGCAGTATTTGGTATCTACCACCTCTCATCACATAACCCAGGTATTGCATTTTTCTTTCCTTGATGGTGTTCAGTACCTCTTTTTGTTTCTGCATGCGCTGGAGTACTTCATTGTTGGTGATCCTTTGTACCCATGAGATTCGCAGCATCCGTCTGTATATATACATTTCGAAGGCTTCTATTCTCAGTCTGTGAATCCAGTGTCCAGCTCTCACATCCATAGAGTAACACAGAGAAGACGTAGCATCTGGCCATTCGAGTTCTGAGATCCGCACTGAGGTCTCTTCTTGTAAAAAATGATTTCATTCTCACGAAGATTTTTCTCGCTTGCTCAATTCTTGAAAATATTTCTCTTTTCGGGTCGCACTGCGACTATTGATGTTAGCTCCTAAATACTTTATTGAGGTCACTTGTTCGATTGTTTGTCCCTTGACACGCAGATGTGCATTTATTGGAGTCTTAGAAAAGACCAATAGTTTGGTCTTGGAGACATTGAGATGCAGTCCAAACATCTCACTATAGTGGACTACGGAATCTATAATGCTTTGCAGTTCTTGTATATCGTTGGCTATTATAACCGTATCATCGGCATATCTGATATTGTTTATTGGGATTCCATTGAACTTGATTCCGCCCTGGATTCGATCCAGTGCTACTCTAAATATAGTCTCCGAGTACAGGTTAAACAGGAGCGGAGACAAGACGCAACCCTGCCGAACACCCCGTCTGATTTGTATATCTTCCGATGTTGACTGCTTCATCTCAACTACCGCCGTTTGATGCCAATAAAGTTCTGATATGAAACGTAGGTCTTGTTCGTCAACTCCAGTTGTTCTTAGAATTTTGATCATCTTCTGATGATTAACACAGTCGAACGCCTTACGATAGTCTATGAAGCATGCAAATACACTCACATTCATGTCTCTACACCTCTGTGTCATTACATTTAGGGAGAAGAGTGCTTCACGCGTTCCGAGTCCGTTTCTGAAGCCAAACTGGGTGTTGTCCATCTGATTTTCGCACTTCTTGTAGATTCGAGTGTGGATGATTCTAAGAAAGCTTTTGGAGGACATGGGACATAAGACTTATCATCCGATAGTCATCACATTGTGAGGCGTTGGGTTTCTTTGGCAGGGTTACGAATGTTGATTTAAGCCAATCTGACGGTATTTTGCTTGAGCTATATAATTTGTTAAATAATGCTGTTACCAAATCTAGACTTCTGCTTTCGTTATCTGCAATGAGCTTAAGTATTTCAACGTTTATTTTATCGGGGCCGGTAGCTTTTCCTCTTTTCTGCGCTTTTATTGCATGAACAACTTCGTTTTGGTTATTGCTGGAGCCTTTTCATTCAGTATGTGATCTATTGGTGGTGGGGAACAGGGTCTGTCATCATTAAAAAGTGTTTCGATATATTCTTTCCATTTCACAAGCTTAGCTCTTAGAATTATCTCGTTGTTATCGTTTCTTAGGATTGTTTCTTGGTGTTTTCTGTGTCTGTTTGTAAATTCTTTCACTTTTTTATGAACATTGAAGGTGTCATACTTTGCTTTTAGTTGCTCTATTTCTTGACATTTTGTTGACATCCAGATCTCTTTCTCTTCCCGGCACTTTTTCCTAATAATCCCATTTAAACGTTTGTATTCTATCGGATTTGCCTTCTGCTTCCGTCTGTCATCCATGAGGTCTAGTATTTCCTGTGTCATCCATTCCTGCCTTTTGTTGGTTGCCGTGAATCCAATATCTTTTTCCTGGATATTTGTTATTCTAGTTCTTAAATCATTCCATGTCTTTTCGACATCCTCTTCCCGTACAGGTACCTCTACCATTTCTAGTTCTTTTTCGATCTTAGAACTGATCTCTTTCTTTTTCTCGGGGTTGTTCAATAGTGCGATGTCTATTTTCTTTGACGTTTTTTCTCTTTTAACTCTCAAGAATCTCTTGAGCCTAAAGTCCAGCACGACAGGGTTGTGGTCACTGCCGATGTCTAGTACAGGATAGGTTCTTGCTGACTTCATATACCTTTCGAAGCTTAGGCCGAGCAAAATGAAATCAATCTGATTCCTGACAATTTTTTTCTCCCTATCTGCAGGTGACCTCCAGGTGTACAGTCTTCTGGGGTGCTGTTTAAAATTTGGATTTTTTTGGATTGTCTTTACAAGAGGAAAAAGTTTTTTATTATTGACATTTTGAGAAAAAGCATTCTTCATAAACATTTTTGCTTGTTCTAAAATGGTTAATCTTTTTTTGGGCAAAAATTTTTATGAAGCATGTTTTTTTCCCAAAATGTCAATAATAAATAAAGTATTTCCCTTGTAAAGACAATCCGCGGACGTACTGTATAATTACTAAAACTAAAAATAATATTAAAAAACTATGAAACCTTTTTTCTTCATTGTAAATAAAATGTTGGGTATACTTTTCTTTTGATCCAAGATCTAAACGATCGTGCGGTTTACCACGATAAAAATATTATATCTGAAAAGTCTATTAATACCAGATTCTGAGGACACGAGACTTATTAAAAAAATTACTTTATTTTTATATATTATTAAAATATATGAAAAATCTATGAAAAGCGCTCTCTCTATATATATATATATATATATATATATATATATATATATATATATATATATATATATATATATATATATATATATATATATATATATATATATATATATATATATATATATATATAATAAATAATTTAATCAAAAATATTAGGGCACTTTGCTATATATTAAAAAAGAAATAATTAACTCTTAACTCTAGTCTCGGGACAAAAAACTATGCCAAGTATATCTTTGTAGCTAATTAGTGAAATGCTCATAATAAAAAAGCACTTATTTTTTATTCTTGTAAATTTCTTATTATTAGATGCTGTTCAATATTTAGTAAACGGTAAAAGATATTTTACAGT